GGTACAGACAACACCATCTGGCAAATGAATATCTCTTGACTGGAATAACGGACCAAACTATGCACAAAGACAGGCAGCTGAAAGGAAAGAGAGATTGCGTGACGCTCCAATTCGCGCAATCGCATTTCATATTTATTCATTTACTTCGCACGCGAATTTGCATAGTCATGGTTGAAGTCCGTGTGATATGATAGCATTCACCAAGAGATTTGACAGCTTTAATGATCGTGTGAACAGCCTGGTACATGAATGCCTGCGCTACACTTAGAACAGAGAGAAATTCAGGTATGTTGGACGTTCTGTCTGCGCTATGACAAGGTAAACCAAAGCCAGTTTAGCTTGTTCTCAAACTGTCGGCCTTCAAGATCTACAACTGTAGTAATCTTTTGATTGTATGAATTAAGCTTATGTACATCCGACAGAGGTAAAAAATAGTCGATGTTTTTAGTCCAGCGAGTGGTCGTTTGAGTCCTTTCCATGGTCCTTCGTTTTGGTGTAGTGGTCTTACTGCCCTTAGTGCCCTAGCTTGGTTTGTGCCACACTTTTGGTGTTCGTTTTGGGAACACCCATTCGCCGTATTAAAGAAAGAAAAGCGCTCGATTTGTATCGGCTGAATCACTTCGCAAGAAATTCGACTTCTTTGGCTTGTTTGGATCGTTTGCTCTGCGTTGGCAATCGTTGTTGATTTTATATAGAGGCTGAGTTTTCATATTCTGAATGGCTTTTTGCAATGCTTGATCCGAGGCATGCTTGTCGTTACGCACGATTTATACTTCACTCACGTCAGTTCGAATAACGCGCCTCATTCTTCAGTTAGTAGAACACTTATCCAATATCATGGATGGGTAAAAAAAATTGTTTATTGAATGCGCGATATTTGGCATAATCGGGCACCAACCATGACGTGACGTGATTGGGCACCCGCAAACGGTTTGAACGTTAGAGTCGAGTTAGAGGCAAAACTTCCTGCTCGCTCAAACTGTTGCTAAGATATTTGTACATTTATTTCCTATCTGCTTTCGCGTACATTCATCTTCAGTCATATTAACTTGTAGCCTCCGAAGATCTCAATCCAGTCTGCATTAGGACTGCGTTCTCCTTCTCGCAGAACGCATTAACTCGCATAAACAAGGATTTCAAAACTTCTTGCCATCTGCAGTTCTACCTTTGTTAAATCAGTTTTACAACCACTAATGTAGGGTTGACTACGAGCAAAGCACTCAAATCAACGGTTTATTGTTAGTAATAACTGATGCAGTAGTAATCACATGATTTTGAGTGCAGTTTGCATTTTGGAGTAAATAATCACTAGTAAATTTAAATATGAAAGTCTGGCTATACATTGTTTACTTATGTAGGCTGCAGTGCCCTCGCTCTTCCAAATATCTTCGAAAATTTCCCAAATATTCGAAAAACTTCCACAGCGTTGGAAAATCGCCGGTAATCTTCGGGCAATTTTCGGTAATGCCGATTGGTCGACGTCGCATGTCGACTCGCGATAAGGAAATTAGTTGAATTGCGGACAGGCAGAAAGTGTGCCGCAGAAAATACACGGCCATGTTACAAGTGAACAGTACATCAGATCCAAGAAGACCTGTGGACCTGTGGTCCAGACGAAACTTAATACAAATATAGTATCGGTTCGGTTTCCGCCGCCCTCTTGAATCTGGTCTATGGGCTACTCTCCCGAACAACGGCTGGTAATCGAGCCTAATATAGCCAGGACTGCGAACGAAAATGCTGATGGTATAGTAGGATCTAAGAAAGATCTGATCAGCGTAACGACGAAACAGGGATCAGCGAGGTTCCTGTTATAAATCCCATTTAAATCCCAGATTTCCCACCCCAATATCAACAACGGACCCCCGACTAGTCCAATACTCGAGGTATGCCCTGGTAGGGCCATGTTTATGTTTCTAAGAGCTAACCACAGTACTTGAGTGGATGCCATTCAGGCGAAACGGAGCTCTATTGAGGCTTGCTGGAGTGCTATTTATGTTAATGGATAACCGCAATATACCGAAGTGCTGTTCAGACTGGAGCGTTGTTTCAAAACTGCAGTGGTGCTGTTCTGGCTGACCGAAACGTTACATTAGTGCTTCTCGGACCAACGAAAGCAAAAACTCTCATCACGTCTGTACATCCTATTTGCATACGAAATGTGAATTAATTCAGTAAACAAATTACATGTACCAACAAAGATAACAACAAAACATCAGAATCTATGGTTAGGTTCCAATAAGCTAATTTTAAATGCTAGTAAAACTATCAAGCGTAATGTTTAAATTGGTCTAAATTGCGACTTTCTTCACTCACGTTGGCGGGACATGTCCGTATTTCGCATTTATAAAGTACCTAATCATACCTTTTTGGTACGCTTCGGCGGCATATCAGGCTGGCGAGTGTAATGGTTCGTATGTTGGCGAGACGTAGTCTAGCCAAACTTGATACCCATGCGAGACCAAACGAGCCTGATATGCGGCCGAAGCGTACCAAAAAGGTACGATTAGGTATTTACTGTACCAAAATTCGGCCAAGTGAGCAAGACATGGAAGCCATATCAGGTCAGTGACTTGAGATCATGGCAAGATATCAGGACACCGAGAGTATACACGGCTTCTGATTGGCTAATTGCGAATTTGGGCACGGTAAACCGTAATACTGTAAGGAAGAAACCGTACATAATGTCATGATGTACATCATATTCCTTGTTTTACTATATCCTATTGTTACATTTTTACTCTTTGTAAATACGTGTGCGTGTCGGTGGAAAAATTCAGTACCTACCAGTCTTCCAACCAAACCAAACAACCTATACCTGAGAAAATGATAACGGTTAATTTTCACTCTTCTTTATCAGGGAACAAGGCACATGCGTGAGGAGAAACAAGGTTACTACTCAGGTTTGAAATATTACATGTACATCAAATTGTTGGCAGTGTACTCATGTTGATCGTTATTTTTTTTGATACAACATCCACAGATTTGAAAGTCTTTGGTTCAGAAGCTAATGGCGGTCGTCCTTTCTTGGAGATGTGTTTTCCTGTCCTTCACTGTTCTCATGTGTATTTTATTAACGTCATTTTATCTTTTCTTTCCACAGACAAACAGGTTAGTGTTATGTCGAAAGTTTTCTTTCGTTCAAGTTGAGTGCAACTTTGCCTAAGTGCCCAACTGCCAAACTTATCGCATCATTTGCCTCACTATTTATGGGCTAACAGTGGCGGATCCAGACCTTGAGCTAAGGGGGGGGGNTTTTACTTGCCCTGCCAGCTTTCCTTCCTTCTGTCAAAATAAGGGGGGAGTGGCCCGGGTCCCCGGGCCCTTCCCCTAGATCCGCCACCGGCTAAAACGAGTTTAAATTGACATCTAAAAGGGTATCGCTTTGATCGGCTTAATTACCTAATAATCAGATCATAACTGAAAGAAAATCCCTGGAATTCTTTTCCTATCCGCATTGCGCATGTGTACTTGACAGTAGTAGCGTTTACACAGGGTACAGTTTGACCTGGTTCATGTTGGATTCCAGAATCCAATATGGCCTACAACTGATGTCAGGCTAGTGTTTTAGCGAAATATTTTTTAGCAGTGCCAATTTACAGATTTTTTAAACAGTTTTAAGAGTTTTTTTTACAGTGTTTCGAAAGAATTTCTAGGACGAGATGTCATTTAAATCGAACCTACGTTAAAGATTAAATAATGTCAAAATTTTGGATGACAGCACTTTATTGAATGTACTGAAGAAAATTATTACAAGCATTTAAGTACAGGTGTTATCTCTTTTCAGTCATTATGACCCCTTCCTTCTTTTTAAACGAGACATTGCTAAGGAACTGAATGTAATCCACCTGGAAATGCGAAAGTTGGTCGTCCAAAAGCAAGCACCGTCACCGAGATTGGTTCAACGACTAGGGGAAATAGTCAAAGGCCTAGACAACACACTGCAAACAGCGAGCACTCCTGAAATAGTTAGCAAGTATGGTAGCGTGGATGTGTGTCCAGATGAATACAGAGGGGCAAAGTTTGGCTACCCATATTACGCCACGGGCTGGGTTATCACCAACTGTACTAACGCTAAACCAATTAATTCTGTGATAACTATTTTAATAAACACTGTTGCATATCCTAAGGAAGACGAGAACAATATTGAAAAGGTTTTAAAGGGGGTTACAGAGACCTATCCTACAGTTCAAGTTCATTTAGCTACGCGTGGTAACGAAATTATGGACATGGCCAAAAGGTACAAAAATATTAATGTTACGAAAGTCAGTGATACAAACCTAGGCAAAGGATGGAACATGTTGATAAGAAAAGTATCTACTCCTTACGTTCTCGTTGCAAGAGATGTTTTTCACTTCACCTGGCTTACCCAACTTGAGAGGCAAATACGTGTGGTCAGTCAGATACCAAATGTGGGAGTTGCAGGTGGATCTTACCGTAACTTTTCAGGTCACTGGAAAGCGGGCTGTGTGCAAACTACAATGAAAAATTACGTCCTGGAATACCAGGAAGGTTATTATCACTCAAGAAACGAGTGCATGTTCTGTGATTATCTGCAGGGTCCTTTCGTTGCAAAAACAAAGCTGTTGAAGTTTGACGAGAGTCTTCCAAATGAAGTCATTTTTGAAGACTGGTTTTTGCGTGTTGTTGAAGATGGACACCTGACAATGTCATGTCCAGACGCTATGTATTTCACGACAGATTACAGTTCGTATTCCAAAAATAATGATAAAAACATGTGGAAACCTTTGGCTAAGAAGTGGGAGCTTAATCGAGTGTTACTGCCCCAGGGGGTGAAGCATTCCTTTTCCTGTAAGGATGTTGGATTCCAGTGCGCTGCCGAAAGCCATTTACTCCCAGTTTGTTGCCAGGAGGAGTATGCAGATGCATTGGCCTTTCTTCAACGGTTTGCCGATGAGAACAATATTACATTCGAGCTTGATACTGGTTCCGCGTTAGGTGGTGTTAAGTTCAGTGGACTCATTCCTTGGGACATAGATGGAGACGTGATTGCTTTAACATCAGACATCAAAATCTTTGGCAAGAGAGAAACAGGGGATTACTTTCGCAAAAATGGTTACAATCTTACCGGGTATCAATCGACGGGGTCTAAGTATGTCGATATTAAATTCAATGGATTCGACATCGAAGTATGGGGCATGTCGATTGTGACAAACACTCAGTACCTCCCCCCGGAGCTACAAAACCGTGCAAAGTTCACCAAAGCGAACATTCGGGGTAACTGGATTGATACGGCGTTTAGTCCTGGTTTGTTCTCAAGAAACCGATATGGAAGAGAGATCCTAAAGCATTCCCAATCTTGGCGAAAAGTGAAATTAGAAAGCAGTTTTTCTGACTATAATCCTGGCAGCTTTGAACCTTGCGAGAAACCAGACCATCATGCTTGCTTACAAAATTTCCCTGCCGACGGTAACATTCCATTTTTGGTAACATAGCAAGGCTTAGATACCGTAATAGCCCACGTGTAAGAACCTGAATTTTTCAGTTTAGCCTAAATAGGTTCTTATATAAATGGTACTTAAAGCATATTTAGGCTACCAAGGTTCTTAAAATAGGTTCTTATATTTTCATATGAATTTCATCTGAATACACTATATATATTAGAAATATCATCTCATAGTACAGTTTATTATATGGAGAAGAGTGTTTTACTGGGAACTAAACCACTCGTAGATTCCATACGCCACTTCATCCGGGACCCAGTGGCGTATTTTCCGTATGTCACCTTTGTGAGTGTCGTATCGTTCAATGACGGCATGATTCCCGC